ATATTTTTAAAATACTCACTTTAGTTTCTATGTTGAGAATACAAAACTTAGGGAGCAAGACTTGAACTAGAAAGACCAAACTAATCCAGTTATCCAGATGAGAGATGATGGTGGATTAGACTTTATGCATATAAATGGAAATGATAAGTGATTGGATTTTGGATGCATTTTGAAGTGCAGCAAAAATAATTTCCTGATGAATTGGATGTATATAGTGTAAAAGAAAGTGAGGAATTGAGGGTGATATCAAGATTTTTGACATAACCAAATGGATGATAGAGTTACCATCAATTGAGATGGGGAAGGCTTTAGGAGGAGTAGGTTTTGGAGAAAAGATTAGGAGTTAAGTCTGCGACATTTTGAGTTTGAGATGTCTATAAAACATCTGAGTGGAGGTTCTGAGTAGGCAGTTGTATATATCAGACTGGAGTTCAGGATGCAGATGTGGCCTGCAGACATGAATATAGAAATTGTTAACATAAAAATGTTTTCTATAGCTATTGGACTGGGAGATATCACCAGGGAAGTGTAGATATAAATGAGCAGAAAAATGGGGACTGAGTTCTAAGTCACTCCCATTTAAACAGGTCTGAGAGAAGAGAAGTTGGTGAAGATGGAGTAAATAGGAGAGTGCAGTGTCCTGGAAGCCATGCGATGCAAGTTAAGTGAGAAGAACTCACACATCAACTATGCCAAATGATGCTGGTAGTTCAAAATGAGGGATTAAGAATTGCCCATTGTATTGAGCCATGTGAAAACGATTCATGACCTTGACAAAAGTAATCTCAGTGGAGTGGCAGAGGTGAATATCTGATTGGAATGTGTTGAAGAGAGACCAGGAGAAGAAAAATTGGAAACAGGCAACTGTTAAAAGAGGATGAGAGAGTAGTCCAACTGGATATCTGAGGAACGAACTTTCTTGACATACAGAATAGATATTGTAAAGGCCCTAACACAGTAGTGAGCATGGCTTGTCTGAGGAATAGTAGGGAGGCCACACCTGGAACAGATGGGGTGAGAAATAGAATAGACAGAGAAAATGGAGGATAAGGAAGGATGTTTGTTTGGGGATCCTTCTTGATGCTAGATTGATGTAGATAGAAAGCGTAGGGGAGTGTGGTCTTAGGTCAGGAGTCCTGGTTCAAATAATGCCTTATATTGAACATGAAAACATATATCATACGTAACTGTAAAAGAGATTTTCATCAAAGGGGAACAAAGAAATGGGATAATGGTAGGTAGGAGAATTGAAGTCAAGAATGTGTACACATAAAAAGAATGTGCATATATATATATATACACACACACAAACACATATAATAACATGTGTACAGATAGATGGGTAGATAAATAAGGAATAAGAGTACAATTGTATCCTGAGAGAAACAATACAGTATAGAGTACAATATTGATGATGCTAGACATAAGGAAGAGAAAGCTGGTAGAAACGTCATTGAATTGGCTTGTGAGAAAGAGATCTAGTGGAAAAGGAGGGTAACTTTTAGACAGGAGTCTAGAAATTTCATGTATGCTATCAGCAGGAAAGTCGTATAGTAGGCAGGTACAGGTAGGTGAAGTGATGTGGTGATAGGGGTCCATGATGGTTAATATTAAGTGTTAACTTGATTGGATTGAAGGATGCAAAATATTGTTTCTGAGTATATTTGTGAGGGTGTTGCCAGAAGCGATTAACATTTGAGTCGAGGACTGTGAGAGGTAGACCTACTCTCAATCTGGGTGGGCACCATCCAGTTGGCTGCAAGCATGGCTAGAAAAAGCAGGAAGAAGAAGGTGGAATGAGCAGACTTGCTGAATCTTCCAGCCTTCATCTTTCTCCCGTGCTAAATGCTTTCTGCCCTCTAATATCAGATTCCAAGTTCTTTGGCTTTTGGACTCTTGGATTTATACCAGTGGTTTTCCAGGAACTCTGAGACCTTCAGCCACAGACTGAAGGCTGAACTGTTTTGGCATTTCTACTTTTGAGATTCTGGGACTCGGCCTAGCCACTACTGGTTTACCTGCTCTTCAGCTTGCAGATGGCCTATTGTGACACCTCACCTTGTGATCATGCCAGTCAATTCTCTTTAATAAACTCCCTTTCATATATACATATATCCTATTAGTTCTGTCCCTCTAGAGAGCCCTGACTAATACAGCGTCTGCGGAAGTGTTCTTCTGAGGGCTACAGTTTTCTAGTGTAAATAGAAAGCAAGAGAAGAGTTGGGGTGGGGAGGTGGTACAGAGAGTATGAGGGGAGAGAAGGCCATGAGGTCTAAAGAGTGATTACCTGTTAATATTAAGGGTCTGTTTTAAGTTCATGATCATAAATTTAAATTGAAATGAGTCACGTAGTTACGTATTTTCCTTTGGCCAGATTTATCTTTGTAGGCTCAGGCTTCTTGAAGTGTAGTTGAATTTAGCCAGGGTTATTTTTCTTAGGAAGCAGTACAAAGTGAAAAGGCAGGACAGTGGAGGGTATATGTAAATGAGTGACTGTAAAGACTGAGCATGACATTTGAGCTAGGGAAGGAGGAGAGAGAATACAATTAAGGGAAGAAGAGATAATGAAAATCTGACAAGATCAGTGTATTGAAAATTCTGGTGAGGCTGAAAGAAAGTAGGGTCCAAAGACAGCTGAAAAGAGAGGAGAGTGTGGTCAGAAAGAGGGATGTTTGAAATTGAGATTATGGAGGGGTTCCAATAATTATAGTGACAAGGGCTAGAGTATGACTGTGTGAGTAACTGAGGGGGAGTTGATAACAATGTTATGGAGGAGAAATGTTGAAGGAACTGAAAAGACCAGTTTGTCAGAATTATCATTCTTCAACTTACTAAGAATTAAAGCAGGGCAACTACCTTTGAGAATGACTGTCGTAGGAGCTAAAATCTTTGAGAAATCAGTGGGTAATACTTGAAATTTGTTATATGACAACAACAAAGGCTAGTTAACGACATAACCTGTCAAAAGCTGGAAGTTTTTAGAGGGGCAGGAGGGGGATTGCTATGTAAAGTCAGCAGTGAGAATCAGTAAAGTCACTTACATAAGTTTTAGGATCTGTGGTACAGGGGTGGTAGGAGTAAAAAAAATCATCTGCTCTTCATGATGAAGATCTTCATCTTCAGGGGATCTAGAATCCTCATGGAAGGGGGAATTCAGAGAAGAGGTTTAAAATATGGAGGAATTACTGAGGGTGCATGGTGTTTTATTAATAGAGGAGGGGTGAGAAAAGTGAACTAAAGAGGGGGGTATGGACACAACCTTACAGAGGTTAGAATGTATAAATTGAAGGGTGTCTTGGGGTTACTGACACAAATGGAGATAAATGTCATCATTAGACAAGTTCTAATGATTCAAGGCACATCCGGTTGCAGGATTTTGAGGTTTGGGCTATGGAAGGGTAGTTGCTTGGAGCTTCCTGTCAATCCCAAGTGATGTGAGGGGTGTGGCCTTAGACTTGGATCACTGGTTTAAACAATGCTTCATTTTACACCTGAAAACAGAAATCACATTGATCTGTAATAACGGCAAAATAGGCTAGAAACTGCACATAACATTCAGGATAGGACTACCCCTGGAGAAGTGGGAGGGGGAATGAAAATGTAGTGAGGGTCAAGGAAACCTTGATTTTTTTTTCTGTAAAGTTTTCATTCTTTAAAAGAAAGACAAAGTCAATATACATAAATGTTAACGACATTGAAATCTGAGTAGTGGAAACACTGATGTTTGTTATATTTAATGCCAGGGACATTGCAGGTACTCAATGAATATTATTTGTTGAATGATTATGCCTTTTTGTTTTAAAAGTTTCTCCAACAAACATACACAATTCTCAGATTAACAGAAAGTGCTACAAAAGCAAAGAAAAGGTAATGAAGTGAGGTGGGAAAGCTTGAGAAATCCTTTGGAAAGAGTGACATTTGATCTATATAGATGTATACCAACATGCATGAGGTATAAGCTAAAGACATAGTTGTACCTCCATCTTAATGCTCTAAAGTTCTGGGTGAGTATCCAGAAAATGATCTTTTTTTTTTCATTTCATTTTAGGTTTTGGGGTACATGTGCAGAACATGCAAGATAGTTGCATAGGTACACACATGGCAGTGTGTTTTGCTGCCTTCCTCCCCTTCACCCACATTTGGCATTTCTCCCCAGGCTATCCCTCCCCAGCTCCCCCCTTCCGCTGTCCCTCCCCTATTTCCCCCAACAGAACCCAGTGTGTAGTACTCCCTTCCCTGTGTCTTGAACGTTTAGTCCTTTCAAATAAATACTGGTCCTCAATTTTGTCTTCCAACAGACACTGGGCGGTGCTGTTGTCAAAAAATTCCTATCACGGATTTATAACTTCAATCTATAGGCATCACCACAACTAGTGTGTCCTGTGGGCCAAAGTGCTAGGGATTGGGGATGTAAAGGTGAATAACCTCAGTTGTTCTGTGGTGATTATAAACTGCTATTGTGTTCAGTGGCTGAGAAAGTTGCAAATGTGACTTTTACATTTCATAGGCGAGCACTGCTGTCACAGAAATGTCCAGTTGTAGGGGCGAATGGTTCTGAACCACCCACTCTCACCATGAGAACCCCTACTCCACGACCTGGCCAAGGATTAGAGCAGAAAACACCGAGCCGAGCCCCACTCCCAACCTACTGTTAGGTTGTCATAGCATCCGTAGGCCCCAATGGCTATAAAAAGCCGAGAGAGCCTAAATACCGGTCATTCCGCTTGGACCTCGGTCAGGTGTTCTAAGCTCCCTGGGCAAGATGTGTCCGCTTATTGAAGAGGCCTCTGTTATTGTAAAGGAGTGAGTGTACTTGGGATGAAGGGAATGTGGACCCTCAGGACTAAAAGCAGTGGGAGAGGCCTGGGAGGTGGGGCCTGGGTGGGCGGGGTCTGCTCTGACGTCACGAAGCCCCTGATGGTAGAGCAGACGGTGGGCGCAGGCTCTGGATGCCCCAGCGGAAGAGCGGAAGGAGGTGAGCCCGGAAACCCTCGGCCAATGAGAGAGGGCTGAGGCGGGGCTGCTACCGGGGCTCTGCGCGGGAACGCTAACCTAGTCCGGAGCCAGCCTCGGTTTCAGCCCCGCGGACGTCCTTTCCCGAGTCTTCAACCCTTCAGGTGAGGCCGTGCGGCCTCACGGAGCCAGAGGACCATGGGGACCGGAAGGCGTGGGGGTCGCGAGGTGGGGATGCCGCGCCTTCGGGAGCCAGAGCGGCCGGGTTGGGGCTGGCGCTTCGCGTCTGCACCGCAGCCCGGCCCGGCGAGTCCGCCCGCGCCTTTGTCTTCCCCCCGGCGCCGCCCTCTGCGCGCGACGCCGAGCCCTCCCGGGGGGCGGGCCCCTGAAAATAAGGCCCCGGGAAGGGGAGGGAGGACGAACCCTTAAAGCGGCCGGTCCGCGGTAGCTGCGGCTCGGAGGCTTAGAGGATGCGGAGTTTGGGGGCCGCCAGGAATGGGCCCTCTGGGGCTGGGCCCTCGTTCCCTCTCCTCCCATGACCGTTGGGCTGGGCGCCCGACAACGCTAATAGTTACTTGAAAAAGTATGCCAACTGCTCCTGACAGACTGGCCTCTGCGCCCGGCCCTGCTGTTATTTATTTGTTAGTTCCATTTCCCAGCGCCGAGCTTGGAGTCTGATCGCTCGGCAGAGTAGGGCCTTAGGGTAACCTCGACGGAATGGAGGCACGTTCGGCACTTCTGGCTGCTTGGGGGCCTCTCCATTCTACCCCGGGCACTAGACGAAGTGTCTTACTCCCCCAGGGTGGGGCCGGGCTCGCGCACCAGAGCTCTGCCTTGCGATTTCCGGGATATCCTATTGTCTCTTCTGGACAGACTCCGGACGCTCACAGGGCACCAGGCATTCGGTCAGGTCCACAGTCACGCACCTCTGAGCCTCATCTCCTTGCATCTCTCTCTGCCGAGAAAAGATGGTGAAAGAAGACCCACTTATGTTTGGTTTATTCCATTTTGCTGTAGTCCTGGGTCTGATCGTAGTTAACTGTCCCTTTTTACAACGTTTACAAACCGGTGCCACAAGGAACTATGACACGTGTGTTGTAGTGTCTTAATGTGTGTGTGTGCTGCTCCCCATCTCCTAAGAAAAATGCCAAAAACCAAAAGTAATTTAATAGAATGTGAAGATGCTCGAATAGTGTTATAAAATCGTTAACTGGTTAAAGCCAGTCTTTATTTTTTCTACTATCTCTGTCTGATCTTGTGCTTCTATCACCTCCATTTTACCCTTGCCGTGATTTTAAGAGTCAGACATATTGGCTCTGGGTTTCTAGAGCATCTTGGTTTCTAGTGCATTCTGATCCAATGGCATTTACTGCCTACCAAAAACGGGCTAATGATGTGGAATTAAGATTACTCTAACAAAAATATAACTTTTCCAAGATCTGTTGCTGTTTTTCTGTTGAAAATGAGAGGGTAGAATATACATTGATATGAAATGTGAAAATTTTTGCTTGTGACCCTTTAGTCCGAAGATAGTTCTGCCAGGTAAGTTTTCTTAAAAGTCTTTTTTCTTTTCAGGCTATCTTTTAGTCGAGATGAGTGATAAGCCAGACTTGTCAGAAGTGGAGAAGTTTGACAGGTCAAAACTGAAGAAAACTAATACCGAAGAAAAAAATACTCTTCCTTCAAAGGAAAGTAAGTCTTGGGCGGGGGGGGGGGGGGGTTCTAGTGGAAACAAACGATAGAGAAAGTTAATAGGTTCAGTAAATAAACCTATCTTCTAGTAACTTTTTGCCACAAACTAAGCAATATATAATTAGAGTACCATGGTATTTAATGTACCAGTTAAAAATATCAAATAGTTGTCTTCCTACTTGGGTTATATAATAGTTCTCACTTAAGTCTTAATAATAATGAGGGAAACCTAGTTTCTTGTTGGAAAATTACTAAAAACCACCTTAAAATCAATCTTGAAACATTGGATTTAATACTAGAAAAACCTTAGTATTGTTCACTTTATTCTTATTAGACATTTTTCTGCATCTGTCAATTTGGATCAGTGATCTTAGACCCAACGCCATGCAAACGTTGCAGTTTTGGCCTTTTCTACCTGATGATGAGAAAAAGAAGATGAACAAGTGTAGATGTGGGTGCAATTAAGGCTCCCAGACTCAAGGGATAAGTGATCACTTTTGCCCTCCAGAAATACAGCCTGCTGGAGAAACTCCAATTGTATTTGCAGAAGTTGAGGGGAACTTTTTGTCTTTTTCGCTTTAAGAGTTCCAAAGTCAGCCAAAATTGTCTGAAAAGGTATAACTTCCTAGTTGTATATGAATAGATAAATCCAAAGAAATTGTTTCATATCTCAGTCTTGAATCATCTATGAAAAAATGGTAACAACATATCTCTATCTCTCAAATGGGAAGAAATACTCCACAGGTATAGATTCTAATGAATATTCAGATAGTTAACATCCACATATACATGCACACACCCTATTGTGAGGATTTGTGGTTAATGACTTGGCATTCTAAAGTTAAAGCATGTATACAGACTTTGATGACTCAGCAAGGAGCTCTTTTGGAAGAAACTGAACTTAACCTTAGGAAAATATAGTCTTAATTTGTGTTTGTTTGTCTTCCCAGCTATCCAGCAGGAGAAAGAGTGTGTTCAAACATCGTAAAATGGGGATCTCCTCCCAACAGCAGATTTCAACATTACCTGAGAGTCTTGGTTTAGGCTTGTTTTTTGTAAACCCATGTGTTTGTAGAGATTTTAGATCTTCGGATGTCTTCTCACCTATGTTCCCTGGCTAAGAAGTCAGAGGTAGCCAATGTTTCCTTAAATTCAATTTCATACTTACCATTGGTGCATATGTTCCAGATGGCAGATGCTGTCAATAATCTCACCATTGATGACCTTTGTGTATGTAGTTCTTGCATAAGTCTGTTTTAACCTGCTATGATGGGTGCCTCCATTGCTTCATAATCTTCATGAAGTTGCATGCTTTTGCAGCTTTTCACAGTTTATTTTCATTTCTAATGTAGTAATAAAGTAACCAATATAATCATTATCTTGAGACTCCGGTGGTTGACTCTTGGCAGTCTTCTAAGTGATGAAAAGTACACAGGGATATACTTTTTAGCCAAACAGAATGGTTGAAGGAAAACTGTTTTAGTAGATTATTCATGTGGGAAATGTTCACTTTTCTCCAGGCCTCGTGGATCCTGATTTAGAGATACTAGGTGCTTTTTGTTAGAGTTGGAATCATAAAGTTAGAGAAACTTGGGAAGGAAGGTCATGTGGACTAACCCCCTTATATCAGAATGAAGAAATGAAAATACAAAGTCTGAGGTGATCTGCTCAAGATGAATATTAAAGCAGAGTTCTCTTGCCTTCTAGAAAGTATTTTTCAACTTAATGGAAGGGGCCACTCAAGGCTGGGATTGGATAGGGAAGGGGCAGGAGGCACTTGCTAAAATGCACTGTACCAAGCACAATATGCCTTCTGTGGAACATAAACTCATATCTAATAGCTGTTAATGACCTGTAGCCAAGAACTTCTGGTTTGGTTCTTGTGTAGAACAGAATTTGCTATCTTAGGAACCAAGCATTTTTGGTGTTCAGGGTGAACATAAGTACTATGGACTGAATTGTGTCCCCCCAAATTTGTACATCAAAGCCCTAACTCAAGTGTGATTATATCTAGAGGTAGGTTCTTTAGGAAGCAGTTAAGGTTAAAAAAAGGTCAGAAGGGTCAGGTTCTAATCCAATAGGATTGTGGCCTTAAGAAGAAGAGAAGGAGTGAGAGAAAGAGGGAGAGAGTGAACTAGCGAGAGAGAGAGAGAGAGAGAGATCACTGCCATGTGAGGACATAGTGAGAAGGCAGCTGTCTGCAAGCCAGGAAGAGAGCCCTCACCAGAAACTGACCTTGCAGGACCTTGACCTAGGACTTCTAGCATATAGAACTGAGAAAATAAATTTCTGTTTAAGTCACACAGATATTTTTGTTATGGTAGCTTGAGCTGACTAATACAATATAGGAATACATATAAATGCACATGTCCCAACCCATGCCCTCATTACTTTTACCATTTTTAATTTATTCAAGTCAATTACATATAACCCCACCCATTAGAAGTGTTAGCATTTGTGTGTACTGTATAACCATACAGACTGGGGCTCTATTAATCTGGACTGTGAGCTTTTTCTACAAAAAAATAAATTACGCTTTTAGCACCTATTTGCAAGCTCAAGTATTGTTCTTACCTCCCTTTCTAAGGGCTCATATTCTTAATCACTGAGGTTACATGACGTGGAAGCCATTTTTTTCTGCTATAGCTTAAAGTTACACAAGCAAAACAGTAGGTGGATCAACTTTGATCAAGTGCTGATGAGGTGACACAATCACAGGGCTTAGTGTAGCCAGAAGATTTGAACCTTGGAAGTAACCATGTTGGTCACCAGTAACTTACCTCCTATCTAAAACAGTTGTCTGATAGTCATTCCGCCCCTTACAAGGACACGGTATCTACACTGTGCCCAAAACTGTCTACCTTTAGCTCCTATCCAACAGTCCTCAGACAGTTTTTTGGATACTTTCACAAGGTGATTAATTTGCCCTCCAGTATTTGAAGTCAGCTGTTGTGTGCCTGCCCTCATACCTCCAAGTCTTCTCCAGGAGACATCTCTCAGATCCTTTGGACCCAAGTCACGTGGATGGGGAACCATGCTGATTGCATGTTAGGTGTGCTCAAGTTTCCTCATTATCAGATTTATTTGGATTCTGATTCTATTATCCAACACATATGCTCTCCTTTCAGTGTTGCTACTTGCAAATTTGATAAAAGTGCTATGTATCTATGATAGATCCAGCAGCCTCTACATTTGTATACTAATCCAACTCAAGATTAGACCCATTTCAAAGGGCCCAAAGGAAAGCATGAATATTGTCAGGTAAGCTGGAATTGGACGATAACTCCCAGTGTTCAATTACATCTGGTATCTATCCTTTTCATTAAGACATTAGATCTACCCTGGGTAGTATAAGTGGTAAACCGAGTGGGAGCAGATGAAAGGCACGTGATGAAGGTGAAATACGTGTAGTTGCTAAGTGAATATTTACACAAGTTGGGAAAAACAATTGCATACCTACTGTAGTTTTGTTCCGTATTTTTTTAAATGACATGGGGCTATTCTTTTAGCTACAAGGTTCACTTCCCTTTCCCAACCAAGGGAATATTTTCCCCCATAAGTCCACTATAAAAAGAGATTGAGATTTATTGCCCTCAATTCATTTATTAATTGCAAAACTGATAGCACTAAGGCTTTGTTGTAGCCTTGCGTTATTGTGGGCAGTTACATTTATAGAGAAAGGAAAAAGAGGTAATGATGACAGAGCCTGGAGTAGATCTAGAACATGCTGTATGGTAGAACTGCATTTGCTAAGTGAAGAAACCAGGGCTCAGAGAGGAAAGGAATTTTTCAGGTCACACAGGAGAAGTTACTGCTCAATACATAAACAAGGTAACTTAGGACAATGTATAGGATGTAGCTTAGATTTGTAGTGATTATTTGTGAATATACCCAGGAGAATTTCTAAAAGTATGGTCCCTGAGCCATGAGTATTAGGATCATCCTTGGTAATTAGTGTGTATTCCTGGGCCCCATCCCCAGAGATTCAGATTCAGTGAGAGCAAAGGATGTTCTCTTGTCATAGTTTTGCAAAATTATAGTGTGTATATTATTTTCTTTCCTTTTATGATTTATGACTTAATCTTTTGTTTACAACATCTAACTTCTGTGTCTCCCTTAAGTAGAATGTTTCCTTCCTGAATATTGGTATTGTTGATGTCTTGAGAGGAACAGATGGAGTAATTAGTTGGCAATGCTTTAGCTCCCTTGTTCTTCAAGTATTGGTGCATGGAACAGCAGCATTTGCATTAACTGGGAATGTTAGTTTTAGAAGTACAAATTCTCAGGTTCTATCCTAGACCTAATAAATCAGAAACTGGAGAGGGGGCCAGCAATCTGTATTTCACCATGCTTTTCAGGTGATTCTGATGCACATTCAGGCTGAAGCACCACTGCTTTAGGTAACTAGTGAAAATGCTTTCAGGGCTGGGCTGTAGTAGCTAGCTAGAACAGACACTTAGGAAAAGATGAAGATATTTTTTTGAAATTCGGCAGGCATTTGTCAAGAGCCTATTACATCTAAGCATGTGTGCAGAGAATGTAGGAGATATGAATAAGAGACAATTGTTACCCTCCAGAGATGTACAATCTCATAGAAGGGATAAAGTAAGAATGCCAATGACCAAATAAAATATGTGAAGTGTTTTAAGTGGGATTCCAAAGTGAGATAGCCACATCTTGGGATGTGCATATAGCTTTTGCAGGTCTTTGTACTATAACACTCTGTTGCCTTCAGGATGCACTGACCTACAGTGATCCATCAACAGAATACTCTTGTTAGAGGTAAGAAATCAAGTGAAATATAATAAACATATTCATATGAGGGAAAACGTGTATTGTACATGCTTCAGCATCACAAGTTTCCATGCAGCTAGGTTTTGGATCTCTGATTGATTTTCATGAAGGCTGGACCTGAATATTAAGGGGACAAACAACTGGTAAGGAGAGAATTCGTGGAGGCAGGGATAGCTGTGGGGAAGAATAGAAAGGAACGGTATTACTATGATTATTGTTGTTATTATTACCACGTGGACAAAGGGAATACAAATATTCTTTACTTTGGTCTCTGCTTTACATTGGGGGCATGAAGAAATGATGTAGTTTTGTTTTCTGAATCAAACCCTGAGATTTTCCATCTGCTTCAGAGCACTACATTTCCTACCCTGAATCAGATTTTGTTAGAAGGGATTGGCCCATGGATATAAAGGCCTTTTCTTGACTTGAGCAGTAATTCTCTGACTTGGGAGAGGAGAGTGCTTCTGGAAAAGAAGGAACCTGTCTGACAAGTCACTGCCTTCCATTCTGATCAAAATCTCAGTGAATCATCCTGGGTGTGGAGACTCATGCCTATAATTCTAATATTTTGGGAGGCCAAGGCAGGCAGATTGCTTGAGCTCAGAAATTCAAGACCATCCCAGGCAACATGGTGAAACCCTTATCTCTACCAAAAAATACAAAAATCTAGCTGGGCATGGTGATGCATGCCTGTAGTCCCAGTTATTTGGGAGTCTGTGGTGGAAGTATCACTTGAGCTGGGCAGATGGAGACTGCAGTGCAGCATGTTTGCGCTTCACTGGGCAACAGAGTGACACCCTATCTCAAAAACAAAAACAGAAACCCCCTCAGTGAATCAGAGCGAGGAAAAATGGCAAGAGAGCAGTCTCCAAAGACACAACATAAACAAAATTAAGGATAGTTATGAATGTATAACAAACACTTAAATATTTATCAAGGTTTAAATTGTTTTCTTAGCAGTAGTTATTCCTAGAAAAACACCCAAACTGAGAATTCGTGAATGCCATTGGCTTAAAACAATTGTTTAACTATGCTTCTAAGTAACCACCTTAGGAAGAAAAAAATTATAGGAAATATTTTTTACCAAAACAATGCTTCTTTCAAATATATATGAATATTTTGAATATCTATAATTGAAAATATTGATAAAATGAGAGAATTACAAAACAAAAATTAAAGAATTAAAACCTCCCTCTTTCCTACAAAAAAAAAACCAAAAATCCTAAAGACTAAGAAGAATGGAAGTAACAGGTTATCAATGAGTTACCATCTCAAATGCCCTGTCTTCCAAGGATTTTCCTTTCAGACCATTGAATATCGGTTATTTCTACTGCCAATAAAAAGTATGCATAGTATGAAAACATAATTTTATTTTTGTTTAAAGAAAATATGTTGATAAAATCCATTGACAAGAGCATGGTGAAAGAATTCTGGGGAACCATACCTACAAATGAGAATACAACTATTATACATGAAATATTAACAATCTAATCTGTCATTATATTGAAAGAAGAACCTAAAAGGACAAACCAGGATTCACTCAAGAATACAAAAATGGTTGGTACTGAGTATTTTTTGTTTTTT